TGGTATTGATGACCAATTGCCATTTTTCTGACAAGTGAAAAACCAGAGGAGACTGCAAGTGCTATCATAGAGATTATCTAGAACCATTAGTCTCAAATTTTCTATGACAACAAGTTAAAATGCATTCCACCTGAAAGCTTTCCTTACACCTATTTGTACAAGTTGATATTTCCAATTAAGCACTAAACTAGAGATCTACCGTTTAAAATGGAACTAACTCTAAATCTATTTGGAGACATTAGCAAATGTACTTCAACCTGTACCCCAAAATAATAGGAAGATTGATATGACCGATAACTACAGAAACACAAACCCGACAGAGAAATGTCAACAAACAGCTAGTAATAGTAACCTAAAAATAGGAAAAGAGAAGACATATTGGACCACTAAGGCGACCAAAGAAATGCAACGTTGCTCCTTGATAGTTAATTAAGGATTATTATAAAACCCAACTCTAACAAGTGCAGAGTAAAGGGAACATAATGGCGAAACATAGATATACAGAGTCACTAGATGCATGCTGTAACCTAGCAATTATAACTATTTACTTAACGAATTCAATATTTGACTCTAAAAGCCGACTCAAACACTTTCTCGCCTTTTATAGAGGATGAAATCGAGACACTAATTCACATCTTAGATTCTATGCAAACCTCGCTGAAATAGTTTAGATAAGATAACATACCACTCAGACATTATACTTGTCACCTATTTCCAGACAACGTTGATACCCCTCCAACGCGAGTTTCCAAAATATGCAATGGAGGAGAAAGGGGGAGATACATTATCAGTAAAATATCAAATAGAGAAAAAACCATGACTACTTTTCCACAGTAGCCAGACTGTTGAGCGGAATAAATGACTTGTACAGTTTTTTTGCCTCTTCTTTTTCCATTGTTAGTTGCTTCTGCAGATCTTGTTACTCTAGTAAATAAGTCAGATTGTTCCCCATAGTAAAGTAAAATACCAAATATGAAATCAAATGAGAGACTTGTCAAGACCGGCAATCATAATGTCCTTTGCAAAGAGATTTTTTTCAGAGATCAAACAACCGGTGGTAGACTACTACTTGCCTTTTTTGAACTCTTAAACCGTTAAATAAGCACATTCAACTCTTTCGTCTGAAAAATGAAGCACAAGTAGCTTAACATGATCCGATAACTGTTGACCACAAAAAAAAAGGAAAGCTTAGAAAGCGGGACAAACAAAAACGACTTTCTTTACCGCATGAAACCATGCCAAAAACTCTTATTTGTAATCCCCTACATGTAGAGTTTGCACTTTTGTAGAAATGCAACCCATCAAAGTTTAATATATGAAGATGATTCATGATTAC